CTCCACCACCATCCCTCTCCCCCGCCAACCAATCCCCTCCCTCCACGTGTCCCCCCGTCCCCCGCGCCCTCCTCCCTCCACCCTCCACCTCCTCCACCCCCTCTCTCTCCCACCATCAACAGCTCCAACCTCCCACACATTCTCTCCGCTTCTTCCCGCTCCTCCTCCACCGCCAAGCGCCAACAGCGCCGGCGCCGTCCGTCTGGGCCAAAGCTCCCTCACATACTGTCGGAATCGAGCCTTGCTTCTTCCCCGCGAAGCCCGAAATCGAATTTCAATAATCCCTTTGGGTTCCCATCGGCTTTTCAAGCGGACTCAACATACTCGAGCACGCCCTCTCAGGCCTCGTCCATGTGGAACTGGGAAAATTTCTACCCTCCTTCGCCTCCAGACTCTGAGTTCTTCGAGCGCAAAAAAGCACAATCCCAATCCCACCAATCTAATCACCAACAACAATCCCCTGACCCAGAAGATTTCGACGACGACAATACAGAGACAGAGGCCGAAGAAGCCGAGCCCGAGACCGAAACCGAGAGATCGGAGTACGATTTCTTCCTCAACCACCAAAACCCGAAAGCCCAGAACAACCATCACCAGAAAATGCACGAGTATGCTCAATCTGAGCAGTATGCTCGGTCCGAGAAGTATGCTCCGTCCGGGAAGTATGCTCAATCTGAGCAGTATGCTCGGTCTGAGAAGTATGCTCCGTCCGAGAAGTATGCTCAATCGGAGAAGTATGCTCAGTCTGAGAAGTATGCTCAGTCTGAGAAGTATGCTCAATCTGAGAGAGAGGAGGTGCAGTGCAGTGAGTGGGGCGACCATGACCACGACCATTACAGCACGACGAGCTCGTCGTCGGACCATGAAGGGGATGACGAGCGGGAGTCGAGATCCGAGATGGGTACCCGGTCGAATTTCGAGTCGGTGTCGGTTCGGGCGGAATCGGTGGCCGGTACAGGTACTTTTCCGGCGGCTCAGGCAATGCCCAGGTTTACGCCGAGTACGAGCAAGTCGGAGAGGTCGGAGGGCGGGAGTACTTATAGGAGCAGTGAGATCTCGAATATGAAGATGGTGGTGAGACACAAGGATTTGAAGGAGATTGTGGAGGCCATTAAGGAGAATTTCGACAAGGCTGCCATGGCTGGAGACCAGGTTTCAGAGATGCTCGAGACCAGCAGGGCCCAGCTTGATCGGAGCTTCAGGCAGCTCAAGAGTATGTGCTGTTCATTATTTTTGGATTGTGGGTGTTTGGTTGCTGAGAAAATTTGTGGTTTGGGATGGGATCATAATTCAAACGATTTTCACCGAGCTGGAAACTGGGTTCCGTTCCTTAAATTCTATTTTTATCGAATTACATTGAAATTTTTGAATCTTTGGGGTTGATTAAATTTGGGTTTTGAATTTCGTTTCAACAGTAATTAACTCTGACTCTGTTCTTGTATTTTACAGAGACAGTGTATCACTCCAATAGTGTGCTGAGCACCTTGAGCTCCAGTTGGACTTCAAAACCGCCGCTGGCGGTGAAGTACCGGCTCGATGCCGGTTCGCTGGTCGACACCGGCGGTTCGAAGAGCCTTTGCTCCACTTTCGAACGCCTTTTGGCTTGGGAGAAGAAGCTCTACGAGGAAGTCAAGGTACAATTTTTTTAACAAATAAAAACTTCGAACAAATTGTAATCTTTATTATTTTATTTGGTTTTTTTCATGAAAAATAATTATTTTTGTAGTTAAAAATCTGGTTTTTTTGTTTTTTGTTTTTTGGGGAAAGAAGTTAAATAAATCTAGTTAGGCTTTTAAGTTTAGGACAAAAAAGGGTACCCATCAGTGACAGTGTTGTGTTGATGCTCTGATGATCCACCGCAGTTTTTGACTATAACGTCAAAAGCGCGAAATGACGAAACTGCCCATGGTCGGTGCTGTTCACAAAATAAACTGGCCTTTTTCCCGGTGCATCTTTTTGTATATAGTTGTGGATTTGGATGGTTGTCTTTGCCCCCAATGGTGGCATCGGTCGCTGTAATGAAGGCCTTTTTCAATGCTGGTCAAAATTACTCATATACCCTTGACGGCCTGTGAAATTGGACCGACCTTATCTTTGTAGTAGGCTCCTAGACTTTCTGTGATAAAGTAGATGCATTTTGTAGAACCTAGAGGCAAAATCTACTCCATTATTATTGGTTGGAAAATTTTGACATCTTAACAGATAAGGCTTCATATTCTTAGGAATGTCTGTATATAATATTTTCATTGCCTTTGCAATCTCATAAATTTTACCCTTTCTTTTTTGCTTTTTGCCTCTTTCCACCCTCAGCATAAATGCCAAAGATAAAAACACTTTTGGCTAGAAAAAGGGTTTTCTTGGGAGAAAATATGCATCCTCTGTCATTCTCTTGTTCAAAATTTATTGAACTTTTGTTTATATGGATGTACTTTTTCTTTTTGGTACATTTAAATTTGGTGCACTTTTAACTATTCATGCCTACTGTGGAAACATTTGAATACAGCAATAGAAGGGAACAATGTGTCCTAGTTGTGCTACTGTGGAAACATAGTAATTTCTAGAGTGGCATCAATGATTGGCTTGAGGGTCATTTGCCCAATTTTGGGTGGATTGAGAAAATAAGTTTCTGCTGTTGTATTTATGTGGAGACCATATGGTTTCAAATTTGGCAAGTGCTGATGCAGGCAACAAATTGTTATGAATTTTAGGCTAGAGAAGGTGTCAAGATTGAGCATGAGAAGAAGTTGTCTGCGCTGCAACATCAGGAGTACAAGGGGGAGGACGAAGCCAAGGTAGACAAGACCAAGGCTTCGATAAAGAGGCTGCAATCACTAATTATTGTCACATCTCAGGCCGTCTCAACGACCTCCACCGCCATCATTGATCTTAGAGACTCTGATCTTGTGCCTCAGCTTGTTGAACTGTGCCATGGGTAATTCTCATCTCTTTTGATTAGTTACTGTAGAAAAGATGATAGTAAGATTATTTATTCTTCTGCACAAACCATGACTCATAATGGCTTGTGCACAAATCAGCTTTGGCATAAAAATACAGATTGAACATGACATATCAACAACAATTCTTAGTTGGTGTAGACATATATATGAGATATTGGGTTGGTGTACTTAATTTAGGATATTAGAAATTCTCCCACGTGAAAAGTGTGACTGTAGATCGCTGGCCTTTTGACTTGGTAGTTGAAAGCATTATGAGTCACCGCTCTGCCATATGCCACTTGCTTCTTCCCCTCTGGAACTGCATGGGCCTTGTTTTGTTGTCCTGGACTGTCACCTCTTAAAACTAGACGTGGCCCCAAAACTTCGTCTCCGGTGGTTATGTTTGCTCATATCTGCAGACCTTTTTTATAACAGTTATTGTAGGTGGAGTTAGGTAGATTGGACTTAACTATGATACGATCATATGACCCACCACTGTATGTTTCCGGATCCATTTGTAGCTGTGATTATTAACTAAGTCAAGAACATTATTATTTTTTTGAATCTTTAATTGCAAGTTAATTGGGGTCATTATGATAAATCGACAATGTAAGCATCATCATGTTTGTGGGATCAATCTTGAGCGGCATAGTTCTGGTCAGAAAATAATGATCTATTTGTGTTAGTATCTTGCCAAGGTAAATTACCAAAAGGTCCAACACATATTTGCTTTTCTGGCTGAGTGGACATGCTTGTCTCTGTGCAATTTCAGGTTTTGTTTTAAAGCTTACAGGCTAAAATGAGTGAATGAGATGGGGGTAGGTAAACTTTTATTTTAGGTGTTTTACAAAAGCTCAAACCTGTATGTAGATTTTTCTTTGTAGTAATGATATTGATTGGAAAGTGGGAGGGGCATGCAGTCTTGGTAAAAAAGTATACAAATGTGGACAAGCTAGGGTACACTTGAGTATTATCTTCCGTCAAATAAACTTTTGATGGGAGTATTGGCACCATTTTGGGGTAAATTGTCGCCATCAGATAGATGGAACTGTAGAATAAGTAGTTGAATTCTTCCAATGACCCTGTTTTGTCAAAATAATGGCTAGATCCTATAATCATGTGAGTAAGGGTTATCTTAACCGTGACCTAATTCAAAATGTCTTACTTATACTGAATGCAGGTTCATGTACATGTGGAGATCAATGCACCAGTACCATGAAGTCCAAAACGACATTGTACAACAGGTTAGGGGACTTGTGAACCGGTCAGCCAAGGGTGACTCAACCTCGGAACTGCACCGACAGGCAACTCGTGACCTTGAATCTGCTGTCTCTGCCTGGCACTCCAGTTTCTGCCGCTTAATAAAGTTCAAACGGGACTTTATCCGGTCTGTTCATGGTTGGTTCAAGCTCACCCTTCAACCCGTAAACAATGACATGACATTCAATGTGCACAGTGAATCTTCTGATGTATATTCCTTCTGTGATGAGTGGAAGCTTGCACTTGAGCGTGTCCCTGACACAGTGGCTTCTGAGGCTATCAAGAGCTTTATCAATGTTGTCCATGTAATCTCTATAAAACAGAGTGAGGAGCTCAAGATAAAAAAACGCACTGAAACTGCATCGAAGGAGCTTGAGAAGAAGGCTTCTTCTCTCCGGAACATTGAAAAGAAGTTCTACCACTCCTACTCCATGGTTGGTATAGGGCTTCCTGACTCGGGGCCTGAAAACAGGCAGGTTTTGGATGCTCGAGACCCGCTTGCTGAGAAGAAATCTGAACTTACAACCTGCCAGAGGCGGGTCGAAGATGAGATGATGAGGCACTCAAAGGCAGTGGAGGTGACAAGGGCCATGACACTAAACAATCTTCAAACAGGCTTACCGGGGGTTTTTCAGGCGCTGACCAGTTTTTCTGGCTTATTTACAGAGGCACTTGAGACAGTTTGTACTCGTTCGTACGCTATCAAATAGATGGATACGTAATTTTGGTGTCTGTTTTTGTGGTAAGTTGGAATTTATTAGAGCTGGGATTTTTTGGCAGTGGGCTCAGATTGTTGGTAGTATTCTTTTGGGGGGTTACAACATGTAAATATATGGAATTTTGTGATTTTGCAATCCTTTGTTTTTTTTTTGGGGAGGAAGGAAAATGCCTGTACAGGAAAATGCTTAGATTGTTGTAACCCGAGCTTCGCTGTTTTCAGCATACCAATAAATATACATGCTTAGCCTATTTTGTCCTCCTTTGTATAGCTCGCATTACCCTTTTTTGAGTAACGTACAATTTAAGAAACAACCATGACATGGAGTAATTTTCCAGTGTTTTCCAGTGTGACGATGTGGTGTTACAAATATACTCGTATTGTAATCCATGCATTTACTCATTATAACTATACTTTAATCTATGATATAACACTACGTGATGGTGTGAGCATTCAAAACGCTTCTCCATGGCATGAATACATTTTCATAAGTTCTACCTAGAAACGAATCAGGCATTAGTTATAAAAAATAAAAATAAAAATTAAGATGAGATTCAGAAGGCAATTTGGAGTCCGTTGCCAAATTATTATCTGTTGGCTAAGCCGGCTGCAAATTAGGATCTACACTGATGTTGGGGTTATTTTGTGATATGGGCCTTCGCATGTTCAACCTAGTTCTTTGAGGATTTGCTGATGATGGAGATCGCCAAGGAGTAGGATTACATTGCATGTGCATGCCCTGCCTTAATCTTAATTTGTCTATTTTTCCATTATTTCCTTTCATTTCTGTACTCAAAGATAAGTTCTTTTTTTCTTTTTTATGAAAAGATATTGATAAATAAGGGATTACATAGCATCTTCAACAAAAACATCAGAGATAGACTTAATGTTTACAGAAAATTTGAACTCACAAGATAAGTACCCGGCCCCTTTTTCTCTCTCTCTCTCTTTTGCCCTATCCTAACCCTTTTTTTTTTTTTTCATTTTAAATCGTTGGATCCATCTCCTTTTTGTTTCAATCAATGGCTGATAAACATTATTCAAGCACTAATACAAAACCAGGTAGCTATTGGCAAGCATTTATAATTTCCCTAATTAACGTGGTTAAATGGGCAGAAGATTTTGAACTTAAAACTTAAGCAACACGCAAGTTTCCAAATACCAATCTCATTTTTCGATTGGACTGATTGGAACCGCCACCACTATCCCTTTCACTATAAATAAGTAGCCAATAACATCTATTATTCGTACACTCACTCAATTCTATTGCCTTTTGCCTTCCTTCTCTTCCAAGTTTAACTCTCTCTTGCCCTACTAGCTTCTAATTAGAAACCCTCGTTCCCTACTAGTTTCTAATTGGAAACCCTCGTTCCCTACTTGCTTCTAGTTAGAAACCCTAGCTTCTAATTGGAAACCTGCCTTCTTCTTCACGCAGTCTAAAGATCATCATCACCATGAGCCCTGCTGCAAGTCTTCTCCAGCAGAAAATCAGGCTGTTCGTCAAAAAATTAGGCAAAGGTTTCCATTCCAAGAAAGCATACAAAAAGCTGGAGCATGCCTCTGAGAGCTCCAAGAATAAGCACAAGGATGGAGATCAAGTTCAAGTTCCAGAAGGTTATGTGGCTGTGTACGTGGGGGAAGAGCTAAGAAAGTATAAAGTTTCTTTGGAGTGTCTCTCTTGTCCAGCTTTCCAAGAACTGATCATCGAGTCGCTGCCGGATGTGTTGGATGTCAAGATTGAAGGGCCTATTATGCTTTCATCATGCCCAACCGAGCGCTTTCATGTGTTGATTAGATTGCATGCATGGGATATTGCATGCATGGAAGTTTAGTTCTTATTGTTTCATGTGGATTGAAGTTTTAACTTCCCGGACATACGTTTGGTTTGAGAATTGTAAATCTCATTATTTTTCAATGGATGGTTGTTTTTCTTCTTTGTTGATACACAACCTTTTGTACACACTTTTTCTTCTTTTTTCAGACACCTCTTTTTTTATTTTAATTTATAGTGCAATTTTAATTTATACATCTTCCTCACTATCTCGTAAAATAACCCGTTTACATAGCAACCCTAACAAATACTTTTTTTGTCTTTTGAACTTTAAACGAAGGCAATTAGGATCTAGACCATTAACCCTAACAAATACATAGTAAAGGCCATCCATTACAAGGAATCTCATGTTCAACCTAGTTGAGGATTTGTTGACGATGGAGATTGCCAAGGATTATGGTTTACAAAAAAAATTGTAAGCTATTGTTTCTTGACTAAAACAAACTATTATGTTTTTTTTTTTTTCAAAAGAAACGATGATATATTGATCAAATAAGGGATTACATACTGATCTTCAACAAAAAATCAGAGATGACTTCTTGTTTACCAAAAAATGGAACTCATAAGATAAGTCCAGCCCTCTCTCTCTCTCTCTCCCTATTCTAAACTATTTTTCAGTTTAAATCGTTGGATACATCTCTTTTTTTTTCAATCGAAGGCTGATAATGAAAATAATTTAATATTTTATTATATGAGAAAGAAAATAACGTCAATTGAACTCAATAATGAAAATAACATGAGAAACCCAAATTCTAGTTGTTATACTAGTATCAGAAAAAACAAAAAACAAAAGTTTGCATACATGGACTTAGTCAAGTTGGCTAGAGCGGATATGCTCCTCACTCGGCACTCGAGTTCGAATCTCTCTTTTTGTAATTTATATTAGATTAAAGTATAATATCACTTTTATAAAATAAAAAAATAAACATAAAAGTAAATTTTGGGTATACAAAATCATGTTTTTATTGATGTTGGGGTTGTCATATGAGCCTTCGCATTTTCAACCAAGGAGTAGGATTACATTGCATGTGCATGGTCTGCTTTAATCTTTTTCTATATTTTCATTCTTTCCTTTCGTTTCTGTACTTAAGATAAGTTTTTTTTTTTTTTTTTTTGAAAAGATATTAATAAATAAGGGATTACATCTCATCTTCAAACTCATAAGATAAGTCCGACCCTTTTTTCTCTCTCTTTTTCCCTATCCTAACCCTTTTTTTTATTATCGTTGGATCCATCTCCTTTTTCTTTTCTTTTTTTGAATCAACGGCTGATAAACATTATTCAAGCACTAACATTTCTAATTTCCCTAATTTACCTGGTTAAGTGGGCATAAGATTATAAACTTGAAATTTAAGCAACACGCAAGTTTCCAATACCAATCTCATTTCTCGACTGGACTAATTGGAACCGCCTCCGCTCTCACTTTCACTATAAATAAGTAGCCAGTAACATCCATTATTCTTACACTCACTTAATTCTATTGCCCTTTGCCTTCCTTCTCTTCCAAGTAATTTGAACTCTCTCTTGCCCTACTAGCTAGCTTCTAATTAGAAACCCTAGTTACCTAATAGCTTCTATTTAGAAACCCTAGTTACCTACTAGCTTCTATTTAGAAACCCTCCTCTCCTTCTTCACGCAGTCTAAGAGATCATCATCACCATGATCCCTGCTGCAAGTCTTGTCCAGCAGAAAATCAGGCTGTTTGTCAAGAAATTCGGCAAAGGTTTCCATTCCAAGAAAGCATACACAAAGTTGGAGCATGGCTCTGAGAGCTCCACGAATAAGCATAAGCATGGAGATATTCAAGTAGCTCCAAAAGGTCATGTGTTTTTGTATGTGGGGGAAGAGCGAAAGCGGTATACAGTTTCTTTGAAGTGTCTCTCTTGTCCAGCTTTCGAAGAAGCGATGGTCGAGTCGCAGCCGGATGTGTTCGATGTCAAGATTGAAGGGCCTATTGAGCTTTTATCATGTACAACCGAGGACTTTCATAAGCTGATGTCGAAGATCAAGGAGGGTCATTAGATTGCATGCATGCAGCATGGACTGCTTTGTTGTTTATTATTTGTTCACTCTTTAAGTTCCTTTCATTTCTTGTGATCATATGGATTGAAGTTTTTAACATTCGGGAAGTCCATGAGAATTGTAAATCTTATTATTTTTCAAATCGATGGTTGTTTTGCTTCTTTGTTGATACACAACCTTTTGTACACACTTTTTCTTCTTTTTTCATACACCTCTTTTTTTATTTATTTTTTTATTTTGTTCCAGAATGATTTCACTAGATAGGAATTCACTGTATTATTTGTTTCTGCTTGCTTGTACAATCGAGTTGTTTGATGAGCTTTTCTGATGATGAAGATCGACCGCCAAGGATTATAATTAATTTAGATAACAATGTTCAATTCTCTGTTCTTAATTATTATTACTTAATGACAATGTTCAATTCTCTGTTCTGAATTGTTTTTTTCTTGATAGACAACCTTGTGAATTATATTAAAAATAAAAAGTAGCTGACTTTGAATCCAAGTCCAGACATGAGGCTCCTTGAAGGGATAACTAGAGAGTGTGGCTTACCTTGTTGTGTTAGAACGCAGATAGAAGATGAGAGAGAACACAAATAATAGTTACCTTGTAGTGGTAAAATTCACGTTTTTAAAAAAAGCAAACATATAATACTTGTATTGAATATGTACGTATGTAATTTTCATGTTTAATACACCATATTTTTTTTCAAAAATTTTAATAATACAAACAATTATACACATAATTATCACGTATTATTGAATACAAATAATATATATTAAATATATATATATATTATAGTGGCTGAATTTTTAAGTTGTAATTTGCTAAAATTTTGCCAAATAAAACATGTACACGTATACTAAATTAACATCTATAAAGTATAAACTAATAAAACTAGGAGGGTCCTTTTTTAATAATTTTTTTATGCCAACATTTTGACAAATAAAACACATACGTGTTTTATTTGTATAGCCGCGTGGTTATACCAAATTAATATCTATAAAGTATAAACTAATGCCACTAGGAGGGTCCCTTTTTCATATCTTTTTTAGTTAAATAGTATAGCCATGCGGCTATAGTACAGTTTTTTTATATAAAAAAAGTATAGTCGAGTATAGTCACGCTCGCGTGGCCATACTTGGTTGTTGCCCTTTAAAAAAAAAACGAAATTGTATAGCCGCGCGGCTTTACGTAGCTTTAAAAAAAAAAAAGAGTATCGCCATTCGGCTATACCAGGGCTTGATTTTTTTTAAAGCAATAGTATAGCCAGGCGGCTATACTCGGTTTTATATATTTTTAGAAGAAATAGTATAGCTTGGATTTTTCAAGAAAGAAATAGTATAGCCGGCCGTGCGGATGTTAAAGAAATAGTATAGCCGCGCGGCTATACTCGGATTTTTGCA